GGGGGGGTGGGTGTTGTTTCTATAGGGAGCATATTTGTTTTTTGGTAAAGAAAATAAAAATGAAAAAAAACAAACAAACGAAATTGAACATGAACTTGGACAAATGAGAACAAACCATGTCAAGTTGCTGATGTGGCAAGGTTTAATTGGCGAGAGGACGTGTCAGCTTGTGTGCCCTTTCACGGAGGCTTTTGGATTACTGTAGAATTTTCCAATTGTTTGTTTGATAATTTTGCTTAGTGAGAAAGCGATCTCAATTCAAGTTGCCAAAAAGCAATTAGCAAATAAAATATCAGTCAACCGCCAAACGAGAACCCTCCAGAACCATCTGTTCTTATTTCCCTAAATGCCCCTATATGAGGCATGTAATTGCTAACATGACATTCATCTTGATTTTGGCCTGACCCGAAAACCCAAACTTATGGTGGTGACCTTTTCGAAAATATTAAAATACAACAGTTTACTGGCCTTCTTAAAATTCCCCATCTTTATTACTTGAAAAAAAAAAAAAAGTATATGCTTTATTCCATTTCAAAGTCATTCAAGAACACAAATTTTATATAATATAATGTAATCAATAAGATATGTGCAATGAAAACGTTAGGAAAATGCCAAAATTAAGGTGATGTTAACATGATATTATTTTATGTTTTTATAAGAAAAAATTTGTTTTATGGTGCTTGGATGAAGTGTTAATGACACATTTTGATCTCTGCATAGTAATGATCATTAACGTAAACACATAATGTTATTAAAAAATATGATTGGATGACGACAAATTTGACAGTTTAGGGCCAGTTGTGAGGTTTTTATTTTATGGAAACAAAAGTTGCAAAGTTTTTTATTTTATTTTTTCTCCTAAATTAAATTAATTAAATCATAATCCAAACTAAAAATTAATTTATTAAATATTCATGATGTGCACATGCTACATCATTTAAAACTCAAATTTTGTGCATAATACTAATACAAATGAACTATGATTATAAATCATATCAAGTATAGAGTAGAGTGGTTTGAGGAATCACCAGACATTATATAGGATACTTTTCTTGGATGCTTGTAATAGGGGTCAGGCTTTAAGTTGCCTATTTGTTTTGTCAGTTATTGATCAATAAAGTTCTCCCTTACACAGCCAAGGTTTCTTTATAAAAAAAATTAAAAAAAATCGTATCTAAGTTAATGGATTGAGAAATTAAACACAAATTAATATCTCTTTAATTCTTTATTTTAAAGTTAAAATTAAAATTAAGAAAAAAAAACTACATTGCAAAGAGTCGCCAAGTTTTCGGATCCGACTCCGAGGCAAAAGTTTCTGGATCTCATCACAATACCACAAGGGTAAAAAGGTAAATGAGTCCATTCTCTATTAATTAGTCTCATTTCAGTAATAAAATCATAAAACAGCTTCTTGACCAAAAAAAAGAATCACAAAACAGCTAGAAGTTTCCACGAAACAGGAGACCTTCGGCCCCTATAAATTCCGGATCCCACCACCTCACAACCCCTTTTAAGTTTTCACTTTCTCAGCAAATTCTCTCGCATTTTCTTGTAACCAAGCAATATGGACGCGTTCACATCGTTCTTCGATTCCCAAACGTCTTCAAGAAACCGCTGGAACTTCGAGTCTCTCAAGAACTTCCGTCAGATCTCTCCTGTTGTTCAGAATCATCTCAAGCTGGTAAACGCTCGTTCTCGGAAGTGAATTTCACTCTCGTTTTAGGCTTTGTTTGGTTACCGGGAAAATTTAGGATGAATAGAGAATTTTATTACGATTTTGTTCATTTTGATCATTTTCTTGTCTGTTTTGTGTATTATACTCGGCAATTTACGTATTTCGAGAACATTAATTCTCGGAAGTGAATTTTACTCTCGTTTTAGGCTTTGTTTGGTTACGGGGAAAATTTAGGATGAAGAGATAATTTGATTATGATTTTGTTCATTTTGATAATTTTCTTGTCTGTTTTGTGCATTATACTCGGCAATTTACGTATTTCGCTAACACTATTCCTCGGAAGTGAATTGTACTCTCGTTTTAGGCTTTGTTTGGCTACCGGGAAAATTTAGGAAGAAGAGAGAATTTGCTTATGATCTTGTTCATTTTGATCATTTTCTTGCCCGTTTTGTGTATTAGACTGAGTAATTAACGTATTTCGCAAGGTGTGAGAGTGGCTCGGGTTTTTGTCCGCCTTCGTTTCGTTTAACTTGCTGATAATTTTTTTGCCAAAAAAATCGTGCTGGATGTATTGGTTTTGATATTTAGGGCTTCGTTTATGTTCAATTCTTTGTATCTTAAAACTCTCAGTGGATTTTCATTTGTTTGGTTACCGAGAATTTTGATGTTTAAAAAAAAGAAAATCAAAAGAAAGGAAGAGAAATGGATAGATTCATATGCAGTTGTGGTGTTGTTGCAATTAGTGAATGTTGTCATAGTTTTTTCCTTTTTAATTTAAAGAAAGAGGGGAATTGAAAAAATTTAAGGAGAAGAGATGGAGGAGGTGGACGATAAATCAGAAAGAACACCTCTCTCTCTCGTCTTTCTTGTTTCTATCTCCCATCTCTCTTTTCTTGGCTTTTTTTGATTTCATTGGCTACTCGGATAACAGAGTAAGAAGTGTGAATTTCTATATCTTTTTTCTTAATTTAACTTTCTTTGCTGAATTTTCTGGTTGAGTGGTTTGTTCTTGTTAGGGTTTTGCTTAATCTTGATTGAACCTCGATTGATGTAGTCGTGGGTTGGCTCATGTGATTTCCTGGTTCAAACTAAGGGTTCTGTGACCTTTGATTTATTGCTTAATTTCTTAATTTTGCAGGTCTACCTCACCTTATGCTGTACTCTCATCGCTTCAGCTGCTGGAGCTTACCTGCATATCCTATGGAACATTGGAGGCATTGTAACTCTTCTTGGCTGCTTAGGATGTATGATCTGGGTACTCGCCACCCCTCATTATGAAGAGGTAGAGTTTATTGAAAGATCATTCTTTAGATTATGCACCCATATGTATGTTGTGTTGTCCCAGCTGTTGTAATGTATTTTCCTGTATTGAATTGTTGTGTTTTTGTTGAGCAGAAAAAGAGGGTTTCTCTACTTATGGCTGCTGGTCTCCTTGAGGGAGCTACTCTTGGTCCTATGATTCATCTGGCCATTGAGATTAATCCAAGGTACATATTCCCGTTATTAAGTGTTAGCTTTCAAGTTCAGTAAACTTGAGACTACACGATAAATTATGGAACTTAGGTCTCTTTCAACTGCAGTTGTTCCTTCTTTTCCCGTCATGTGCAGTATATGTATTTATATTTCTTAAGTGATTTGCAATAACATGTTTGGGTTTCATAACTGCTTCTTTTTTCCCCTCTAGGGAACGCCTTGTGTTCTCTGTTTGGCCAATTAGACTTGAACAGCATGCTGACTTTTTTTGTTTTTTTCCTTGGGCCAGTGTCCTGATCAGTGCATTTGGGGGAACTGCTCTGGCCTTTGGTTGTTTCTCAGCAGCAGCCATGTTGGCAAAGCGCAGAGAATACCTTTACCTGGGGGGCTTGGTTTCTTCTGGACTGTCCATGCTACTCTGGTTGCAATTTGCTTCTTCTATCTTTGGGGGTTCAGCAGCTATGTATAAGTTTGAGGTGAGGAATTATTTATCAGTTAGTAATAGGAACAAAATGGCAATGTCATCTTTTACTCTGGTTGGTTAAAGCTGAAATGAGGGGAGCTATTTGCATATTAACTTAGGCTGTTGTGTTTCATTGAATTGCAGTTGTACTTCGGGCTTCTGATTTTTGTGGGGTACATGGTAGTTGACACGCAAGAAATGATTGAGAAGGCACACAATGGTGACCTGGACTATGTGAAGCATGCCATGACCCTTTTCAGTGACTTCGTCGCTGTTTTTGTGCGCATACTCATCATCATGGTAAGTTTTCCTAAATGTTTTATTAGACTAGACTTGTAGTTTGTAATCATATATTAGACTAGACTGTTGCTTCTGTGATATGCTAAATTTTCTTTGTTTTGTGCAGTTGAAGAACTCACTTGAGAAGAATGAGAAGAAGAAGAAGAGGAGGGATTGAGCATTTGCAGGCCAATGATGAAAAGGGTTGATCCATCTTCTCCTCCAGAAACAACGCAATGAATGCATTGCGAAAAAATCAAATCACTTTGTCTATAGAGTTTTTCCAAATCTGACCCTTAAAACAAACTGTGTTGAGATATAATCCCCTACTCTTCTTGTGGGTGGTGGTAGTAGACTGATAGTGTTGTCAAGTTCTTGTTTGATATGTTACTTTGAAAACATGTTTTGGAATTCGGATGACATTTTCATGTCTTTCTTTTCCTATTTTTATTTTTGCTATCTCCCATTTCCGGAGAAGAATTTCATGCAACGGGATTAGGAACAGATTTACCAAATGATATGGTAATATACAGCTCAATAAAATTCTGACCAAAAAAATAAATTACAGCTCAATAAAATAATCTTCAATATAAATAGAGGGACTGTACCTTTAGTCAATTACTAAATATTAGAACGTACAAAATTTCATAAACTACCATTAGTTTTTGTTTTTTATTTGAGGACTTTTGCTATTGAGAGAGATAATAATATATTAAATTATTAAGATTCGTAAATAATATATTAAATTGAGAGAGATTAGAATATATTAAATTATTAAGTGATGATTTTTTCTATTGAGAGAGATGATAATATATTAAATTATTAAGACTCGTAGATAATATATTAATTGTAAAGACTCGAACACATGATTTTATTTGAGAGATGAGTCCTTTGCTAATTACCAGTTAATAAAAAATAAAAGTGGGAATGATTACTAAATAAACTTAATAGATTAGCAAACTAATGAATAATTTGGTAAAAACAAACTATAATAACAAGAAGTTTTGCCTTCAAAATATGACCAATCTATCTAGTGTCTTAAAATGAAAACTACCAAAAATAAAAAGGAGTTGTTTGGATATACTAGTCTACCCAACCCCGATCTGCATAACGCTAAGACTTGTTATAACCCACAGCAGAACATCTTTCCATAGACGGCAAAACAAAGCCCCACTCCGTTCACTGTCAATCCCAGCCCCAACCGGCTCAAGCAGCCAACATTTCCATCGAAGCAAGCCATTGTTGATTGTTCCCGCGTGTAGAGGTAAGAAAACTTCACGCCACACTCACTCTCGCACACACTCCTTACTTCTTAGGGATCGGAATTCCAGGGTTTTAAGTTCTAGTTGTCCAATTGAATTTCCAATCCTGTTTTTGTGTTTTCTCTGATTCGAAAAGTACTTTTCTAAATCTCAATTTATCCTCGTTTGGCTGCTGAGAATACTCTAATCTGATTTGGTAGAAAACGGAGCGTTTTAGCTGAAATCGAAGCGTTTCAAGGTGGATGAGAAGGTGAGAAAGAATGAACAAGCTGATTGAATTTGGAAGGAAAGCTCTATTCTATGCGAGGGTTCTTTCGGGCTACGAAGAACGGAGAATCCGATCGTTTCGGTTGGAGGTTGAAAAGCGTCTGAAAGAGGTTAGCCTTTTCTTTTTCCTATTTCTCTTTTTAAAGTTCATCGTGTTAATAATTTGTTGCTCTTGTTAGTCAAAAGTTTGTTGCTTTTGGAGAAATGCAGTTTTTGTTCAATAGTGGCATGAAATGATGGACACAGTGTTAGCCTGAGATGAATTACGATGTTAATCTTTGTGCAAATTTTAGTTACAGTTCGTATTGTTCGCTTCTGTTTTTAGTATTGTTGATGTTCGCTTAAAATAAGAAAGGAATGTGGAGAGAGTGAGAGGGTAGAGCAGGAAGAGTTGAAAGTTGGTAGGGAGTGGAATTGGTTTTATCATTTTGGAGAATGGGAATTTGCCTGATCTTGTTTTTATTCTTTTTTGGAAACCAGATAATGGAATGAGCCTTAGGTTTGTTTCGTTAAGGTTCATTCTAATGAATCGAACATTTACCTTAGTTTTGGTAACCAATAACAACCTTAGGTTCTGTTGAAGTACATGCATCTCAGCCATATGTAAATGGCTGACATTCACGTACTTACCTTAGGCCTTAAGCATAGGTCCGTATTAGATCAGTTCTATATTTGATGCACCCAATACAGTGATCATTTCTTGAGACAATTATTGCAGATGCATTTCATACGTGTTCAAAACTGTGTTGGACAAGTGTAGATGGTGACATGCCGGATTTTTGATGTACCTGCTGTTATCTTGTTATATCATGGGAATGCATGCGTGATGTGGTTTTCTTCATTTAAACTTCTTTATTTTCTGAAATAGTGCCACCATTTTTTTGTATTACTTTACTATTAGTGCTTTTAAGGGGGTTGGCGCAGCGGGGAGTGTTCTTGGCTTCTTATTCTGGACAGTGTTTAATAAGATAGACTAACTTAGCAGTGTCAAAGAACTCTTAAATGTAGAGGTTAATGACGAAAGTGAAAATGCTTAGGCATTCTTTCATGTGGGAATCGCATCATAGGCTTACCTTGTACAAGTACTTTCACGAACCCTGAGAACTTCTCCAATGGCTTGTATGTCCTCAATGTTTCCATCAGAAGGATAGGGTGAGAGACAGACAAGAAAAATTTACCCCAAAATGCTTCTATCAGAATTTGTTTAATTGTATAAACTGCTCCCTTGACTCATTGATCCTGCTTCCTTTTTTTAATTCTCTAGTTGCCTTCTCTACTGTCTGTGTCTTGGTGTAAGAAAACGTTACAGCATAATGAGGGGAATTTTAATCATAGAGGAGCAAATGGAACACTATTCTGTACACCAACTAGGAAAATCCAACTCTTTCATGTTGAATGATTCTGAGGAAGTTGGAATGCAATTGTAGAAAGTATTTGTGACATCAATTATTCAAAGGCAACTTGATTACTTTCAGCAAAAGAATGAATTTTTTTTTCTTTTTGAGCTTTCAAATATATGCAATAGATGCAAAAGCAGCATGCAGTAGCTTATATTTGGATGTCTTACATTGATAAGCTTGAAATAGCTGGTAATGGATACTGACTTTGATTCGTATCTTCATTTCTCTTGCAAGTTGCTTTTATCTTATTCGGGTTTGCCAATTCACTACCTATAGTTAAAAGGATTTACACATGATCTGTGGTATTCCTTGCCTTAATACTTTGAGTACTGGTTTCTTTTTCCCATTTCTTTTATTAAAAGTGATTGACTCTCTCTCTCTCTCTCTGTGTCTCCAGGCAAATGAGCGGAAGTTAGCCATAAGAAAGATCCCTGAGCAAACAATTTTGTCGGAGGTTCGTCGTATGGTTGAGGAGATGAAAACTTTAAATAGGAAGCTGGAAGAAACGGTGAGTTTTAAATAAATAGAACTTCATAAATTTTACTTACTGTGATTCAAATCAGCATAAGTGGGAGTTTTGGGATATATGCTCTCTCTCTCTCATGATAACGACACATATCCATTTTCAAATTTGAGGATTACTCAACCAGCCAACTGCATCTATCTGGCATTTTTACCACCTTTCTAAAAGGAAAGAATTAAACCTGCTGAAAATTTCTAACACCAAGAATAACAAGTGTCAAACAAATGAATGAATATTCACAGAAATATCACACGGTACCAACAAAAAAAAAAAAAAGTGCCCCATATGGCCCTTACTGTATAGTTTAATCAGACTAATGGCTGCAATATGAATTGTTGTGTTGTGTCAATTTAATTTATTTTTATGTCTTTGTATTTGCTAATGTATCAAAGTTTCTTTACGTGAAGGAAGCTGCTATTGAAGAGTACTTCAAGCCGATCGACAAGGAGGCTGAGATGATAATGAAAACGCAACTTGAAGGAGAGGAGAGGACAATGAAGGAGATGATGAAAGCCATGCATCAACAGGCGTTGCTTGAGAAAGCTGAAGCGGAGAAAACAGCAGCAGCACAAAATTTGGAAACAAACCAGAAGAACCAAGACTCAAGACCCAAGACCCAACATCTGCCACTGCCCCCATGAAAGCTTAGGTGAGATGATTTTGTAATAAGTAATAATGTAGCTTTAGGATTATTCCTGTAAGAGCATTATCAGTTTTGGCTGTTTCATTAACCGTGCTTTGATATGAGTATAAAAAGAAGTGCTTAGTGTACTACAAGTTCTACTACATTGACTTGGCTATGAAGTATTTGATTGTTTACGTCGCCCCGCCACATTTTACGAGCACTTATCTTACCTTACCTTGCCTTGTCTTTGTGTTGGCCCTAACGATGTGCATTGTTGACATAACTATAAATGAATGAAGGAATTTGCCTGTTTTGTAATTTGTTTGTTTGGAAGAGTTACTTCTTATTCCACTAAGCTGAGCTTTGGTTTGGTGTTTTGTAAGCTTCCTGTTTATTGTTGCTTCTGTATTTTCTGCTTGACCTGTGCTTTGGGTCTTTTAATGAAGTATCATTCTGTCCCAAAAAAAGAAGAAGGAATTTGCCTTAATTTGGGTGAATGTAATTGTAGGAGCTGTGGTTCCAGTACGTTGTCCTTTTTCTTCTTTCTCTTTGGGCTCACATGTCTTCTACTCGACCTTTATTTTGAAAGGACAAAAGTCACCTAAGCCAGGGATTGGTGAGCTTCGTTGAAACAAAAGGGAAACGGGCTCTGCTGGAGTTTACAGCTTTATAGACAAAACAGAGCCTTGGTGTTTTCTTCCAAGACCCACTACACGTAAACCTACAAGAATTCTATAGTGAGAGGGCCTTGTATATATGAGGCCCTATCTCTTAACCGTTGGATCAAATTCGTTAGCCTGATCCAATGGTTAAGAGATATGACCTTACCTATGAGCTACCTTAGAATGACTCACTAGGGTCATCTCCAACAGTGGACTAAATCCTCAAATTTAGCCCTTTCACACTCAAAAGCTATATCCAACAAGCTCTAGCCTTTTTTTTTCTTCCAAAAAATCCTATTTCTTAAAAAATTATTATATTTTATGGGTGGATTATGTTTAGCTCTCCATTGCGAAGATATGGCCTAACAATCCAAAAATTATTCGTATATAAATTTTGTCCACCACTATGAAAGCTCCAATGCTCTGTTGTACATATTTTGTCGACCACCTTCTCCTAAGCTCACAGTTAATAGAGACCTCTAGTTAATAATGTCGAAGATTATTGTTTTTCCCTTGCTGGCAAAGTACTATATTTCTTTTTTGAATACAAGCGATAGTATAAAACTACAAGCAGGAGGGGAGTTTCTCACCTACACATTACCAAAGATTTCATGAAAGTTCAAATTGAAACCACTGGTCTGCAAGTTAAGACGCTTTTCCATTAAGTTCTTCATTTGCAAATTACTCTCTTTCAAAGAACGAAGACCAAGGCTATTTACCAAACTTTATTTGTAATGTTGGCCTTGGTGCTACTGTGCACCATCATGATAATTGATAAAGTCAATTTAATTAATGTGAAGATTATCCACATTCAACACAAAAAGCCAACCCCAGAAGCAATTTAATTATTCAATATGTAATTTCATCTTTCAAAAGTAAGATAAAAATAATAATTACATCCCTTGCACTAAGTATCCAGGAGAAGTCTTATCAATTGAATTTGATGGAGTCTATTCACTGGACTTTGTCTAACATGAAAGTGAAGGGATACATCATCATCACATTTTTATCCTAATTGGGTGTTGGATTGGATCCATCCCAAATGCCATTCAAATAAGCAGATGGGGTCCCTCATATTAATTTGAAGTTTTTTCCTTTGACAACATTTGGGTTTAACTAAAATGACTTGGTGATTAGTGCCACACATACCATATAGTTTGGGGGTAATGGGCATAACTATTTCATAACTACAAGTTACAACCAACCAATTTTTTTTAGATTTAGAAAATTACAAATATATCCATTCGTAATTGTTTATATTTTTGAGTAGTACCGAAAATAAAGAATAGTTCATACTTAGGAGCTTTATGCAAACGACGTATTGTGTGAAATTGGAGGAAAACTTAGCTAGAGAAGGAGGGGGTATGAATCCGTGACATTCAAGTTTTTTCTTTTCGTGAAATTGTGAGTTTCAAATTTTTAAAAATAATTCAAAAATAAATTGTAGCAATAGTCCCCAAATTACTGCTCAATTTTTACTATAGTATACCTAATAAGTTAGTTTTTTGAATTCTATAGTCCTCAAGATTTTTTTCAATGTCTCCCTTTCATTCTTATTGTCACTTTCGTTTAAAGTCATACCAAATCGTATTTAGTATTTACTCCAAAAACAATCCCACTCATCCTTTTCATACCTTGTATTCATCACCATTCAAAGGTTGGGATTGTTGAAATATGGCCGGTCGGTAACTATTTTTGCATACATGTATACAACATTTAAGTAAATATTATTTTGGTCCGAAATCCTACAAAATTTTACGATATAAAAAGGTTCTTATACTTCTTTGTTTTGTAGATTATTCTTCGTTTGATGACTCGATAAAAAAGATTCTTATACTTCTCTATACGTTTGTTTTGTGTATATTTCGTTTGATGCCTCAATCTGAACAAGGATTTGATAAGTTCACGCACTCAAATATTCACCGAGGGCTAGGGATCTTTGCACAAATATCGAACTGAGAAAAAAATATGCTACTATCAATGTTCCATTGTATGCATGTAACTTTTCTGCTTTTTAGCAGTAGCTAAATTGTGCAAAAAGTAGCAAAAAATGTGAAATTGTTGGCTTGGCTTTTCTTTCTTTCCCAAAATGTATTCGAATTAGGACTGTCCAAAACAAGGGGCTTCTTAGTTACCAGATTTGTGCATTGATTCTAAAGCCAGAAGGATCCATTTCTTTGTGAAAGATTGCAATCCTAATATATGCTTTGTCCCCATATACCATGTGTCTCACATCAATCTGCAAATCCTGATAAGAACCCACCATCCTTTTTACTTTTTATTTTATTTTATTATTCTAGTGATCATACTCGTGTATTTTTTTTTTTAATAAGCAGGGCCCTTGTGATCTGACTTAATCACCACGCATTTAGGGCTGATGGATGTTTAGCTTAATCTTGTACGTATTCAGTTTGAACTTATTCAAAAGGTTAGGAATTGTTGCCAATGGGGTATAGTCCGATGAAAAAAAGTCTGTCTATTTTTCTGTTAAATTCATGGGTAAATAGACAACTTGATTGCTTCTCCTCTCTTATACCAAACTCGCCACCCGAGAGAGAGAGAGAGAGAGAGAGAGAGACTCTGACATCTTCCCTTCCACATAGAGAGAGAGAGAGAGAGAGAGAGAGAGAGAGAGAGAGAGAGAGAGAGAGAGAGCACTTCGTGAGCTCATTTTTTACAGAAAATTTAACAGAGTTTGGCAGAGGGACCAATGATGCAACACGATACATAATTACGGAACCTTTGCAATTATTTTTAGAATTGAGGTATGAAAATATAACTACGGTATAGTTCAGGGACCATTATTACGATTAAGCCTTAATTTAATTATAATACGCACATCCTTCTTGGACGCCTCTATATAATAATGTTCTATTTTATATATACTCCCACGCAAAGGAGATCTCCTGCCACCTCACCATAATGCGTGGTGAGAATGACCAATCAAATCATGTCATTTTTTCACAATCTCTAAAGGAACACGCACTCTCTCATCACCACTAAAACTTCACTTTAATTTATTTTCCAAGGAATAATAAGAGAAATATTGAGGTAAAAAAGAGAAATGTTGGGTTGAATGAACTAGAAACACTCAATTTACTTTGACTTGTGAAAATGATGGGTACAATACAATAAAGCATGTCTTTTCATGGGTTTTTAATAAAATAAAAATTGTTTGGGCCTCTTTACAAAATACTAGTTCATTATCAAAGATTTTTAAAACACAGTAGTGGGCTTTTACAAAATAAGAATTGGGTCTCTTTGATATTGACCTTTCTACAATCACAACAAATTTCTAAAAAAAATTCAAAACTTTTTCATAGTAAAATAGAAGTTTAATCCCTTTTCAAATCCACTAATATGCAAGTCAATGCTCTTTTCTACTGAGCTATACCCTATTGGCAACTAATTTCATATTTAAGCAACAACTTGGACAAAAAAATACATAGAGTACTTGCCCGCATTACCTCAAAAGAAAAAGAAAATATTTCCTTAAAAAGCTAGACCATATCTTTAAGAATTTTTCTTAATTAACACAAAGATCACGTTGTATAAAAGGCCAACAAAGATGGATACTACTTAACGGTAAGGAGATACAGTATACTCCTCCATCCTGTGAATCACAATTTGACACATATGCAAAAATAATTTATCAAAAACACACAAAAAAAACTTTTGCACACATGTCACAATGCTATTTGCAGGAATGTAGGAGCTCCTACTTACTTGGTAAGGAGGGAAGTATTTTGTTCTTCATGGAATTTTTCTTAAGTTTGACAACAAAGCCAGCATCAAAGACAAGTGAAACTCAACCCAACCCCACATATACGTGCTATTCAATGATAGAGTTATAAATTATATTTTGTACAGTTTTGAGATTTTCATGACTGGTGAGGTCCTTTGTATGAAATAATAAATGATTGATTTAATTTTGCTCAAAGTAGTAAAATTGCAGAACATGAAACCAGGGCCAGACGCAGAGAGGGGGAAAGAAAATGCAAATAGACCTATAGAAAAGGCAAAGAGGTGATCAAGGAAATCTAAACCCTAGTGTAATAATTGAAACCAGGTTTTCAGTGATTTTGCAAATTCTGGAATCCTAGGCCTGATATTTTTGGTAGAAGGGTGGGTTCAAATTCAGATAAAAATCATAAAATATTATGTCAAAATTTTGCAAAATGTTAAATTTGAATTTGATGGTTTATGTGTCAATTTGACTCCACCCGAAATGCCAAATATCATAATTTTTTTTAATTATATTTTTAAAAGCAAATGGGGCCTATATGATGTATAAAGTTTTTAAAAAGAATAAATGATAATGGGGTTCATGACTAAAAAAATATTAAAATAATATTTGACATCAAGCTTTTTGATATATTATTTTTGACATATCTTTTCTAACCTTCAAATTCATGTAGAATTTGACTACTCGGTTGGAGCAATTTTAATCTTCAATTTTTGTAAAATAAAATTAAAAAACTAACTTTGAGTCTTTGACCCTCCATATGGAAAAAATAAAATAAAAATCAAGA